CATGAATACTGTCAGTGTTTTATTTAATAACACTACGTGAGACTTGGGTAACATGAATACCGTCAGTGTTTTATTTAATAACACTACGTGAGACTTGGGTAACATGAATACTGTCAGTGTTTTATTTAATAACACTACGTGAGACTTGGGTAACATGAATACTGTCAGTGTTTTATTTAATAACACTACGTGAGACTTGGGTAACATGAATACCGTCAGTGTTTTATTTAATAACACTGTGTTTAATTTTTCTGCGTTTGAAGTCTCCTAACAATTCATTAGATTTCCCCGTGTTTTATGCTTCCCAGCATTTAAATTTTTCATTTTCCCCCGCGTTTGAAGTTCCCTAACATTTCGTTGTTTCTTTTTCCGCGTTTCAAGTCTCCCAGCATTCCATCCTTTGATTTTTTTCTGCATTTCATTGTTTCATTTTACTGCGTTTGAAATTCCCTAACATTTCATTGTTTCATTTTATTCCGTTTGAAGTTCCCTAACATTTCATTGTTTCATTTTACTGCGTTTGAAGTTCCCTAACATTTCATTGTTTCATTTTACTGCGTTTGAAGTTCCCTAACATTTCATTGTTTCATTTTTACTGCGTTTGAAGTTCCCTAACATTTCATTGTTTCATTTTATTCCGTTTGAAGTTCCCTAACATTTCATTGTTTCATTTTTTAGGATTTGAAGATTATTTGTTTAATTTTTCTCTTGCATTTTAAGTCTCGACATTTCATTGTTTCCCTCTCTCGCGTTTGAAGTTCTCAAACACAAAATGGGCAATAAGAAAGAGGAGGTTTCACTAAATACCATATCTACTGAAATAACCTTGTTAAGGGTTAGAACCGAGTTTTGATACTTACAGCAATAAATGGAGTTCTGGTCTTCGTCCACCGTTATAGCTGGGGTTCCAACAGATGACGATGGTGGGTCGGATGTTGGAATTGGTGTGGGGGCATTGCTGCTGTCACGGCCATTCATAGCCTGACCAGTAGAGACCATGCTCGGACTTTGATAGCCATTAGTGCGGCCATATCTACAACTCTCGACATCAGAAGAATAGCCCATCCTATCTCGAAACTGTTAAAGTAGAGATTAGGATTATGTCGTAAACCTTGTATTGAAGGTTAAGATCAACTCTAGAGATTAGGATTATGTCGAAAACCTTGTATAAACACAGCACGACACTGTAAAACATACAATCTGAAGTTAACACTAGCACGACACTATAAAACATACAATCTGAAGTTAACACTGGCACGACACTATAAAACATACAATCTGAAGTTAACACTAGCACGACTCTGTAAGAAATACAATCTAAAGTTAACACTAACACGACACTGTAAAACATACAACCTGAAGTTAACACTAGCACGACTCTGTAAGACATACAATCTAAATTTAACACTAACACGACACTGTAAAACATACAATCTGAAGTTAACACTAGCACGACGCTGTAAAACATACAACCTGAAGTTAACACTAACACGACACTGTAATACATACAATCTAAAGTTAACACTAACACGACACTGTAAAACAAACAATCTGAAGTTAACACTAACACGACACTGTAAAACATACAATCTAAGTTAACACTAACACGACACTGTAAAACATACAATCTGAAGTCAACAAACATGAGGTTTCTATTAAAACAACATCTTGAATAAGTAAAATTTGTTTTTGGTTTGAAGGCTTTGCCAGGTGAGAACTTCTATTTTCTGTGAAAACATTCTTACCATGTTCAACTCTTCCTGAAGCTGTCTAATATGGGCGTCCTTTAGGCCTAGCTGAGCACACAGGGCTACCGAACGTTCAGCTTCATTTCGCGCATGCTTCATGATGTTCCATTTTTCCTGCTCACTTTCTTCCCGTGAACGAACCAGCTAGGGAACAACGTGAATCATAGGGGATTAAACTTTGATATACCATAGTGATATAAATATATATTTTATAAATTTCTTTAACTTGTAATTTCGTACAAATTTTATCACACGCAGTATCTTGCGACAGAAACGTAAACTATAACATTGTATTTACGAACTAATTTTTAGCTTTACGCCATTGATCAGAAGGTAAATTTATTTAAAAAGCTCAACATTATTATTGCAAGCTGAATTTTACGTATTATGTTTTGATAAATTCCATGAAAAAATTATTTAGTTTCAATTCACCAAATAGCAAATTTACTTTAAAGATAGTTTTGAGATTTCTTAAATAAAACAATACAATCAAAATACTGCTACAGAATTAGGCCTAATGGGTTAAACTTCTGCCCATTGATAGGCCTGGTTATGCTTTGGAAACTCTTAAGCCCAAAGCATCATTTATCTTACTAGTACCATTAGTCACTGTGACTTCAAACTTTCAAACATAGTTTTTTTTTTGTTTTTTTTTTAAGTTAAGCACAAAGCTACACAATGGGCTATCTGTGCTCTGCCCACCACGGGTATCGAAACCCGGATTCTAGCGTTGTAAGTCCGCAGACATACCGCTGTGCTACTGGGGGGGGCTTCAAAC